TGTTGAACGCTTGATCGATGTACAATGTACAATTGGGTCGCGCGAAGACTTACAAGTGATGTATGATTGTTCATGTCCGATTGAGAACCGTAGTCTTGCGAATTGACTGGCTTCACTCTCTGCAAGAGATCTGCAGTTTTCTTTATTTATGACGGTAGTGGAAATCTCCATCATAACGAAGTATATGTGAACAATTTAATCAAATTTATATTAAACTACTTGAACGCGTTGATCTGCGTGATTGTCCTCCAATGTTAAGAATTTACAGGAAAACATTATTCCGTGAATTATTGTGATATTTCCATAAAGAATATTGACAGAAAGTTAATTAAAAACATGATGTTGTACCACGTAAAAAAATATTTGATCAGTTTAGAATGCCCGTGATAATGTAACCAACGAAGCTTTCGTGATAGAATGAAATAGTTGTAAAAAAGATTGATAAATAAGAAGATATTTTATTTCTCGAGGTTCACACCACTTATACTATTGAAAATGGCACCTTATTTGCCTGCAACAGACGAGCTGGTAATATACATGCAAGTAAGACCCGTTTTTCAAAGAAAACATTACTTGAAAAAATACAGTACATAGTATAAATACTATTAAATATGCATGCAGAAAATCAAAACAGAAGAGTTCCCCGATTTAAATGAAAATCGCAAAAATGCATAAAAAATGATACTTTAGACGAGAAAACCTACTTGAAAATATTATAATGGCACATACAAGAGTGCTACTATTCACATTATTATTAAATATGTAAACATATAAAAAAATAAGTTGAATGAAGTGTAAGCAATTTATAGTCAGAATTGCTTTCGTTCCTGCGAGGATGGCACACGATTTCAAAGCAACTGGGAAAGACGAGAAATCCATGGCCGGGTTCAGAGGATGCGGTTAAAATGGAAATACGACCCCGTTCCTCGATCCTCGCGACATATGTTACTCCGCGGAATATCATAAAACATTCACGATAAAAAATATTTCACTATATTCTTCTTATTTCCGAATGCAAGAGTTGGCTTCCCATTTCACCAAGGTAATCATCGAATTATTATGCCCGGATTCACATAGTGGTAAACAAGAGGTATCATTCATTGAAAATTAGTCGAAAATAGACGCATTGTAAATGAACCTAAGCTTGATCGTATTTAGACAAGGCATAGGAACAATATATTTCGTCAACGATTGCTTAAAAGGATTGTTGTGTTGGAAACTTGGGAAACTGAGAAACCTAATTCATCGACCATGTAATTCAGATTATGCTGCAAATGAATATTATTTCTTCATGCCATTACATGATTTCATAAAAATATTCATCCAAATTTTAGAATGTAAAAACGCAACCATGCACATGTCTTGATTCGAAAGTAGCCAATTGAAGGGTTTGCTGCAAGGACGAGGTAGCTCCATTTTCTGGTAGCTCATTTTGTGTCAATAACCTGAAACTAATTTCTTTTCGTACCATATGAAAGATCACATTTTTAAAAGTGAAATTACATGTTTAACAAAAAACGTTCCAATCATGGTGTCTGTTTGTAGCAAATCCTGCAATTGCTACCGATATGCTATCATAAAATTGCTGAATAATATGACATAACATTGTATATTAATTGTATAACTGCAATAAATACTGATGAAGACAGATTAAGCCCATGAAATTGGTTGACAACCTGATACTATGAATTGACGAGTAAATTCGAAATTCGCTTGACGGATGGCTACGAGCTCGCGAACTTGTAAATGTTGTACGCGTGAAATTAGAACTGTTGTCCCGAAATAGCTAGTCATTCTCTTGTGTCAAAACAATTTGCAGTATTGCAACGGAACAACAGGAACATTCCACCGTTATTGCATCGACGAATAGCGACAGTCGAGTTTCTGTAACATGCTTAAGTAATCCTGCGCGGTAGGTTTTCCGTGAATGAATGAATGGAAGTCTGATTCGGTCTCCGCGGGTAGAAAGTGCCCGGGATGGTTAATAATTCCGAAGTTGTTTAAATGTAGCCCCGCGCAATTGAAAATGGTGCAGCGGCACCGGAAGTTGGAGCGGACGCCATTTGGACCTGTTGCACCGGTACGCGACATTGTTCCGTTGAGAATCTGTTGCGCGTGGCTGGAAAGTTGATTAATGAATGAATAGCACTGCAGGTTTATTGCGTTTACGAAATGCACTGGGTCGACCGCGCTCATAGAATATTTCCCTATGGTCGTTCACGTTGTAGAATTCTTACGCGTTCGGAGTACTGCAAT